CATTACTGCAGAAGCTACACCGATCCGCCTGTCAATCTCCCATTCCATCCTTCCCTCACTCGTGAACAAGACCCCGACATGCTTAAACTCCTCCACCAACCTGAAGGGAACAAACCACCCTTTTTCGACTGAGAACCATGGCTTCGGATTTGGAGGTGCTGATTCTCTTCCAAATGTTCTGTGATTTGGACAGTGACCTTGGTGACATGCACCCAGCTATCCCTGGTTTGTCTTTGGTTGGTTGTGATGTTCTTTACCCGAGTGACTGGAATGAACATTGCAAGGAGCTGGATCTAACAGAGGAAGTATTATGAGGTGTTGGTGTAACAGCAGGAAGGTAAACAATGATAATATGGAGGGAAACATGCAGATCAACAGACATTCAGCAGAGGTCAGAGGTCAACAGGATGAGGATGTGTTCGACCTGCCCCTGATACACCTTCAAAACTGGGTGTGCTTTTAAAACGTGGCACGAGAGCATGGTCTGCCAACGTGCTGTGGCAGAGATCACAACATCCCACCACCGCCGACTCTCTTAATCTGTCACTTATCCCTGCAGGATTACTAAATATACACTGATCAGCCATGTTTCTAATTGGATTGATGAGGGTGTGAGAGTGAGTTTTCTACAGTTTGTTGAACGCTGTTTTTCAGTCGACTCATGGCCGGCTGTACCAGTGCTCTGTCAAACCCTGCTGGCTACACTTAGCAATAAAAAACAGCACACAACAATAAATAATGGTTCAAAACACAGAGATCTTCAGCTCACTGTGATGGAAAGCAGAGAAAATCAGTTAATCTGAGTCAGTGGATGATCAGCTGCTAGCTCAGCTAAAGGAACATCATGGTGGTCAGCTCGGACTCTGTTTGTGCTACACTGAGTGCTCGGCATCCCTGTGACTCCTGGCCCTCAGTGTCACACTTCCTACTCATTGCTCTCTCGATCTCCTGCTGCATTTCTGAAATCTGCTGGGAGAGAAGGTGCTAGCAGATTCTCAGCAAAGCTCACCTAAACCCGCCTGTGGAAGCTCTCACCTGATGAGATCGAGAAGGGCATCGGCCGAGGTCATGACAGGCCCCCCTCCCAGCCGGTTACTCTCCATCTCTGTCCCCATACCAGGTTTGATGATAATGACGAGCACGATACCAACCACCACGGCAATGAAGGTGGTCCACAGGTAGTAGGTGACAGTGAGGACACCCATCCGACAGCACGCCTTTGACTCCATTGATGACAGACCCGACATCAAACTGCACAATCAAATTATTACAGTCAGCAACAGATCAGATGTTTAGCCTAGTTTATGAAGCAGAGGGGAACTGTTAGCCTAGCTTAGCACAAAGGCTGCATTCCTTTTGAAGTCAGAATTTCCAAGTTCCCAGTCAAAAATTTCAACTGCAATGCCCCCTGAAGTCGGAATTCCTACAGACTTTAATATCTAAGATGGCTGCACCATGAGAAAGCAGTGGTGAAAGCTGTAGTGATCATTTATTAGCACTTCTGTCTTATTTGTGTCTTACTGTAACAGTAGGACAAACAGTAATATCCAACCTTTGTCTTTTGGATTGTTGCCATGATGTTTGGATGTGCGAACACCATATAATGCGTTGTTATAAACTAGTATTACTAAAACTAGATAACAGCAAACCCCATCCATGATGGTTTTCCATCTTGGCGTACTGGAACGCGGTCAGCTGGGGTGTGACATCATTCCCAGCTTCGACTTCTGACCTCTGAGGTTAAGTGAAAAGCAGCATATGACTGGAAGCAGAGAATTGTTAGCCTAGATTTACAAGTTGAGTTTTAGTTCATTTTAGTTTGCAGCATGAGTTTTTGAGATTGCAGGCTGGTTTCTGTGTAAATCCTGAAGCTGACCTCTACTGTGGGGGTCAATAAGGGCCCAACACCAAGTTTTTGCCCTGAAGCCCCTCAGAGGTTTATCTGACCTACCTGGATGTGATGAGAGGAAGAATGAGCATCTTCAGCATCCTCATCAGCAGCTCTCCGGGAAACGAGAAGTAGATCTTGGCCTGTGGTGATAAATGAGAGGAATGCTTCACAAAATATTTATCAGCTAGGGATCCCTCAATAAGCACTGGGCCAAAACAGGAGCTAGTTTAGCTTTGTGGCAGCATCCTTCACCCTTCAGTTTCTGCTGCCGCTGGGGTGAAGCTGAATGTTGAACTTGTTGGATAAAACCAGAAATGTGCAGTTCAGCTGCTGTGGTACAGTGTTTGTTCTGAATATGACACAACCCTTCTTGGCTCTGGATGTATCTATGGTACCCTAGCTCAGGCTCAGTGCTACTGACCTGCTCAGAGATGTTCAGACTAAACTAAAGGAAAGATTTGGTGTGTAGCTCACACCACACTTTACAGGGAACTGAAGCTGGTTCCACAGTTTTTCTAGTGAAAGATTATGACCCAGTATGATGTACACCTGCGTCCTTGGCCCAAGTCTGGCCCATATACTCACGGGTGGATCCCTGAACGAGCTGACTGGGCACAAGCCCAGGTGCCAGGGACCACATATTTGCAAAAACACATTCTTTCTTTCCATTAGACCAGATACTGTTCTCCCGACCAAGTACACGGGTCTGAACCTTTGTTTAACTAGCAGCTGGAAGCTGAAACCTCGCTCAGGTGTGTCGTGAGCAGACAGTTAAAGGAGAGTGTGGGCATGGTGCGGCTGCGCACTGAGAGGCGAGTCGTACCTGTGTGGACATCTGAGTTCCTCTCAGCAAGAAGCCCAGTGCGCCGCCGGTCAGCACGGCGATGACCGACAGCGTCAGCAGCCCGTTCCTCCTAAAGAAATGCCTCAGGTTGCTCCTCAGGTCTCTGCTCACCGTCAGCTGGAGGAAAGTCCTGACTCGGTCCCCCATCGTCCTCCCTGCGGCTCCCGGAACGTACGGGCTGTTATCGGGGCTCGCCTCCTCCTCCGTGCCGCTCGGCAGCAGCAGCTCATCCATGGATTCCGGTTCTTTTCTGGTGGTCTCAATTTGTGTGCGCGGCTGGCACAGTGGCAAACCCGGGACAGCCAGAGACGCGCGACCCTTTTCCACTGAAGGATTAAATCATCACGGTCTGACCAGAGCCACCGGCTGCAGGGGGGCAGACTTACGGTGACTAAGAGGCTTAAAGAGGCGGAATAAAACCTCACACGTCTTTTGTGTGGCACCTGGTCCTTCTGCCGGACCCGGCCCACTGGCTGGTTCCGTCTGACTGAACTGGCGAGTCAGAGAGAACAGAGGTTTCTTCTCCTTTGTCGGACTGATTTAACCTGAAGAGACTTCGTTTACTGTCAGTGGTGGAAAGTAACTGGGCCCCTGTACTTAAATGCAGTTCTGAGGCACGTGGTATTTACTTGAGCATTTCCATTTCCTGGTGAACACAGTGGATCATTCAGCGGCTCCAGAGCCACACATTTCCCGCAGAAGGTGGAGACCACAGAGCTAACCGAGAGGGAGCTGGGCCGAGACTGACAGGGGCGCGGGCACGGGCACAGACACGCGCTCTGGAACCGTTTGCTCCAGATAAACACATCAACATATGCTGTAAATACCGAGAATGGCAGTAATCTGTTTAATTTCATCTAACACAGTAGAAACGAGATAAAATGGCAGAAACAATCAAAAATACCAAAGTGACAACATTCACACATCCAACAATGAAAAGGACAATATAAACGTGTTCATGGATCCACTGTGAAAAGGCTCCAGTGTGTTTATTCACAAGTTGATCTGAAACATCTGGACTTCAGCAGGTTTGTAAAACGCAGGAGTATCTTACAAACTGCTTCAATACACATTTGTTGACCACTTTATTAGGTACACCTGGACAATCTATGACAATTCAATACTACAGGCTCAATTGTTGGCAGCGCAGTGTCCGCATTAGTCAAAAGTGGTGTTGTACTGGAGTACATGTTGAGGTGTTTCTAATGGTTTTCCTCCTAATTTACATCTGAGGTGGTCAGAATATTAGAAACACCTCTGAATATAACGCATTAATGGAAGCATTTCTCTATGGAAAGTCAATCACACAAACCGACAGTAGCTGGGCTGGAATGGACTGTACAGGTGTGCCTAATAAAGCAGACACTGCATATAAGAAAAAGCTCAAAGAGCCCATCTCGATTAAATGAGATCTACTATTCCATGTATCACCTACAGTAGTGCCTGTGTTTCCCTGTAAGACAACATGAGTGTGAACAGTTTGTTCAGTCACACTCTGCTGCACCTGTAACCACGCCCAGCAGTGATATCACAGGGTCATGGAATACACCTGCACATAACTGCAACCAAGTGAGAAGGTCAAGGTGGATTGGTCTAGATCAGTAGCAGCAGCTCAGTGGGCGACAGACCAACAAAGGCCGGGCACTGTTAGAATTAAACATGGACCTAAACAACGCAAGCTACAAATTCTTACAAAAATCAGCTTTGAATGATTCAGGAGGAAATTTACTCTGTGGCTGCAACTAATGATTAACTCATCAGCCACTAATCTACAGACTGCTTCACTATTAATCAGTTATTTGTCTATAAAATGTCAGAAAATTGTGAAAGGCCTGTTATCATCCTACAGCCCAGGTAGACGTTTTGTTTAACTGGTGGTCAGTTACCGATATGCTTTGTTAATTGATTAACTGACTACTGCTGTATTCTATATATTAGTTAAACATAGGAGACAGAGTTTTGGTGAGAGCCTCTGAATGTAAAGAAATTTTCTGTTCACAAGGAAACTGCACAGAGGTCAGCAGAGTCAAGCCTGAGCGCCGTATCACAGACTAACCGGCTGCGTAGTCATACATCTGTTTGAAACAGACAGCTGAGGCTTCTTCACACCAGAATAAATACAGTCTGTGTTCTCAGCACAAATCATTGGGAGGCACTGAAGCTGAACCAACAGTGGCTCCACATGCCTCCGTCTCTCAGAGCTGTTAGTTTTTCTTTGGTGTTGCTGTGTGTTTCGATGACATTCTGTCTGTCACCACCTGATGAAGATGAGGGCGGTGAGCACTGTGTATCCGAGGATGAGGAAGAGCACTTTGAGGAGTCGGTCCCGTTTGTCTTCCAGCTCTCGGGACAGGATCTCAAAGAAGGTGACGAACAGGAAGGTGCCGGCGGCAAGTCCCTGTAGCACCACCGACACCACACTGCCTGCCAGCGTCTGAGCTGACTCGATGCCCATTCCTACCACTATGCCCAGCGGGATCATCAGGCTGACCATGACACCCAGCTTGGCGGCATCCTTCATGCCAAGTGACGCCTTGGCCACGCTGACCCCGAGAGCAATGGCGGCCAGCGTCTCGTGCACTGCCACACCCAGGAAGAGGCTGCCCAGCTTGGCTATGTCCTCCTGCAGCCCGAGCGCCAGGCCCTCAAACACCGAGTGAGCCGAAAGAGCCAGAACAAGACTGGCGAGGCGCAGAGGCCCCGCCCCTGCCAGCTCAACCGGGCTGAAATGGCTGTGCTGGTGACCGCGCGAGCGGTGACCACTCCCACCACCTGGGGAGTCCTGTGCCGAGGAGATGAAGGGCGTGTCGTACTCTGAGTCACTGCCGGCCTCTGAGCCGCCGGCGTTGAAGGTCTCCAGGTCAATGAAGGACGGCTTCTCCTTCCTGAAGGTGAGGATGGTCTGTTCCACAAAGACGGTGAGGAAGAAGCCGAGCATCATCATCGTCTCAGCCAGGGGATAGTCGCTGCTGATCTGCAGCTGTTTTAAAACATCACCCACCTGAGGAGAGAGACACAAGCTGAGGATCAGCCGCAGCTAACACTAGGTTTAACTACACATCGATTAACACCAAGATTATTTTCTTAATTGTTACTAGTCTACACACTGTTGGGAAAAAGTAAAACTGTCCATCACAGTGCACCCTGCCCTCTGTACTGAGCAGGAAATGAAGAAATCCATAAACAACATGGCCAGGTTCTTCCTGATGAGCCTACAGCATTACTCTTCTTGTCCAGTACATTTCTGCAGTTGCTCGGCAGCTGTTCTGACGGCAGACACTGCGCAAAGGTCGGAGTCAATGTGGCCTGAACGAATCAAACACTTCAGTAGCATATGAGCCACTCGTCTCACTTTAGAGTGAATTCCCAGTCAGAGTAACTGTATCGCTTGTTGACCAGTTTGTTGTCAACAGAAAAGTGAGCTGAATTAAGAGTGAAACATGGATGTTTATGCTTGGCATCAATGACATCGAATCACCGGTTATCTGACTGACACCCCTATACATGACCACATGGTAAATACAGTGAGACATAAAAGTACAGTCACAGAGGAAACAGTTACCTTGTCTCTGACGGTAGGCAGGAGAGCATTGAAGCATGTTGCAAGGAACACACCGCCTCCAAATGAGTTACACAAAGACAGAGCCCTCCTGTATGTGTGCGCCTTGTTGTAGTTGATCAGTAGAAGGCGAACTGGGACCAGTACACCTGCCAGCATGAGGCCGAACAATCCCAGAAGGCCAAGCAGCTTCACCACCAGGATCTGCATCCTGAAGCATCAAATGCTCTGCAGAAGCTAGAGCAATGACAGCATCAAACGCATCACACACTGCTCCAGTGGGGTGCTTTTACTGGACTCTGCTGCTTGGTCATCTCTGCTGCTTCTACTGCAGAAGACGGACAGACATACACTAAACAGGGAAGTGCAACAACTAGGTTCTCCCTCAGCCAACATTCAGTTCATTGTGCAGCACAGCAAACGTTATGAATTGATACTGCCTGAATGATACAGTAGAATCAATGTTATTGTGACACTACTTTCTCTGACAAAACCGCATGCATGGAAATACAGTCATGCTTTGTATGATACACAAACCACTAAAATATTTCAGTCCCACAAATGTGCTACATTTTTAAAACTGTAAAATCGTACAAACCTGAAAAAAAACTTGTAGCTAAAATGTCACATTGGTGACAGACATAGATGTACATCTATGGGTGACTGAGTAAAACAGCACCATTTCCGGTAACCGGATACTTGAAGGTCTCTCACTGTTGGTACCGTTTTATCTTCAATGTGAACATCACATACATTAATTGCCATAACGTCATAAGGCGATTCTGTGTTGGACTTTTTTCGTTTTTAATTAAGCGTTATGGTAACGTCAGAAACCATCAAGTTACCCAAACTAACCCCGATTTCTGAGGAATTACAAAATAAGACACCGTTAACGCTTCATGACTAATCACAATCGTATTATTTTGATGTCCCTTTATATATTTCTTCGCTCATCCTATTGAAATTGCCCAACATATATAACTTCACCTCCGTAGTTTTGTTTCACCATTTTAATGGTTTAAACTTGACGTCAACATTCACCTCATTTCCGTTTCGTTCTAGCTAACAGCTGCCATATTGACTGCTAACATTCGCTAGCTGCCGTTAGCAACCCAGCAGCTAATGATGCTATCGCTAACACCTAAACACTGCAAACATAGATGAAAGCAGTGGTTCACATCCGTGTTATTCAGGCTACGCCACAACTTCAGCTCAAGCCAAACACATTAAACCATGAACATAAAGCCAGTGGTCGCGTTTACCTGGCCTACCCTGCGTCTTCCGTCTTCTCGCTCTGTAGCAGGTGCATGAAAATACTTCCGCGTGTACGTCACGTATTCTCTGGGCACCGGGTGGCTACAAACAAGTTCGTCATGAAACACCAAACAGCGCATTAACACTTTATAAAGACTCTCATGAAACACCAAACAACAGCGCATTAACACTTTATAAAGACTCATTTTAGTGTCTGTTTGCTGCATTGGTTGCGTTCTTCCTTCTAGTTCGAAAGCAGACTAAGTATAGAATTTAGCCAAACTTTATTTATTTCAATCAAAATGTTAAATCTGTTTTCTTCTTTCCGCCACCATCTCTGTGCTGCTGTAACAGACATTTCCCCTCTGGCGCTCAAAGTCTGAATTTACATGGCAATGAATCAGTTTATTGGTGAAGCTGCTGTTCAGGACAACAAAGTGCAGATTGTCTGACAGGTGTGAAACTCCACCCCAGCTCAAACAACAGACATCAGACTAGAGGGTGTAAAATGTTGACATATTCCTTTATTCTCAAACAGCTCTGTGCCTCCTCATGTGACTGTTTCACCTGCTGGACACAGGATTAGTTCATTTACACTAAATTGACCCTGATTCTCATTCACACAGTCAAACACACAATCTGCATCATCACAAACAAGGTACTGGACCAAAAATTGCATTCAAAGTTACACTGTGTAGCTTTTAGAAAAACATATTTCAAGCTTCAGGTTTAAACACCGTGCTGACCTCTGTCACGACAGCTGTTTAACATCTGGGGTCCGTGCTCCTTTCAGAGCTGAATTTATGAAAGTGAACCTGTGTTTAATATCAAACTGCTGTGTCAAAATGTTCTTCCTAAAAACCACACAGACGCG